ATATATATATGTATGTATGTATGTATATTATTAGTGCTTGTCACAGACATAAGAGCTAGAAAGCCCTGTACAACAATTAAAACACAAAATTTTCACAAAAAAAATTTGGGAATGAGCACTGAGCAGATTTTGGGTTTTTTTGTTTGTTTGTTTGTTTTGTTTTTTAACCTCTTATCTACTTCTTTTTAGATTAAAAAGTAAAGTAATACAACAATGCAAGAAATGTCCCTGTGCACTGTAGTTTCATTGCGGATTGCATAAGGTAAAACCTTTACAAAGTAAAAAACTGAAATAGATACAAAATGTCGTTTAGTAGAAACGTACCTTTTTTTGATGCATGTTTTGGACTCAGCCCTAAGTATGAAGTAATCTGATATTCACGCGCTGAACAATGAAACATATTTTAGCCGATTATAAATTTTGCAAATTCTCCCACTGATCACATCATGTTATTTTTGAAAATAGAAGCATTATTCATGCTCAGTATACAAATCAACAGCTAAGTCAGTCAGCAATATATTGTAATGTATATTGTGTAACTTATATGATGTTTATTTGTCTTGTATATTATGTAACTGTAATGCAATGTGTAAGATCTGTGTAAATATAAAGTAACTAAATCACTCATTTGTAACACCTTAAAAAGCTCGCTCTCTCTTATTCTCAGCAACCACAAGGTGGCGGCATGCTTCTCTGTAGAAGACGCACTTGTGTCTCACAATGAGATTACGTCCTCTCGTATGAGAGGTTCTGGTGATTTTTATTGTAGCATTCTTTATTTTTATTTCTGTCCCAATGCGTATTTGACGTACATGAAACAGAAGCCCTACAGGAATACTGAGAGTCTATGAGGCGCTCATTTATAGATGTTTATTCTTTTGTCGGTGTGCTGTTGTCTTGCAGCTACATCCTGCTATGCGCAAACATCTGGAGATTAGATTTCCCACTCACCATGAGAACCCCGCACTCCAGTTTTTAAACAATGTAGAGTCTGCATTGTCAGGAAGATCCCAACAAAAGATCCCACTGGTGTTATTATTTTGGCTGGTAGTGTTTAGAGAAATGGTCCACCAAATTCCCTTGAGGGTTATCACTGCATTCCAGACCTGGGAAGACTGTTTGACCTTCAGCCAGCTGGAAAAATTGTTATCCTTTAGAGATGTTAACACTAGCGTGCACACATTCTCCAGTTCAGCTCCCTATAGCACTCTATCATCCGTATTTGAATGGCATTCACGTGGTATTCATTCAGGAGATTCTCAACAAAGAAAAGAGCCACGCACAAATATGTTCTCTTCATTTTTTTTTATTGAAAAAGGTCCACATTAATCACATAAATCACACCATTCCAACAGATTCTTTGTGGAAAATACCTACAGCAAGAAAACGACACAGAAGATGGTTTGCAACTTAAATTAAGCACCAGACGATTTGCCACCTTCCCCCTGCAAGCTCAGCTCGTGCAGGGGAACAGTTCAGTGCAGGCTGGAGGCAAAATGAGAGGGGGAATGAGACAGCACTGTAAAACAGCTTGTGCATCGATCTTTTTTCTCTTTAAACATTAAAGATATTGCAAAAAAAACAAAAACGCACACACAGGTCGTAGCCGAACACACGCAGGCAAAAACAGGATGTGAAAGAGGACTCGTACTTAATATAAGCATGCTGTCTGCTGTGCCGACTGCTGTTTGTTTGTGGAAGTCTTAAAAAAGGCACTTTTTTTAGATTATTCAAACCAGCATGTTCTTAAGACGAAGCCATGTAAACAGATTTGTTCCCTGGGAAAGTCGAATGTTTCTAAGCTCGGATATTCAGTCCACAGATTGTCAATTGGAATGTGCTACTGAGGTAACAATCATACCAAAAACAAAACATGCACGCGCATAAAATCACACACAATTACACACGTGCACAGTTTCCTGCCATAATTTCACAAATAATAAAGCTACCCACCACAATTTATAACTTTAAACATTATAGCTCATCACGCATTTTGTCCCCTTTAGGTTTAACCACTCTGCCGATGTACAGGATGGAGTTGGTCTTGTTGTCCTTTACCAGGAAAATGAAGGGGTGATCTACGTAGAAGAGTTTGGGGTTCCTCAGCTTCTCAGTACCGAAGATGCTTGTGTCGTATGGGTTTCCTTCGATGTCAAGCTCCAGGGCTGATGCGTGGAAGACGCTGGAAAGGTAGAGATCCTTCTTTCCAGAGATGTTGGACAGGTCAGCCTTGGCTTTGTCCACAGCTTCTGTCAAGCCCAGCTCAGCCAGGTGTTTCTGCAAAACACAGATGAAGTTGCTCAGCGCTCTGGGTTCACAGTAATATTTTCTAACACTCCTAAAGTTACACTCCATTTGAGCCATCCAGTGTGCAAACATTTACCTGCAGGTTGTGGCTGACTTCCACTGAGATCTTAGGCAGGGAGATGGCTACGGCTCTGTTCTCCATCTTGCTGAGCCAAGTGTCCACTTGCTTCCTTGTCAAGAGCTTCTCCAGGCGCTCCAGGGGCTCCAGGTGATAGGGCATGATAAGGATCATGGAGGCCTGTTTCTGGCCCAGAGGCATGTTCAGCACAAAGACTTTATTTTCGGTGTCCTCGTAGAAATCATAAAGACCTGAGAGAGGGGCAGACAAAGCAGATCTTATCACATGTGTGTACTTGAAGGCGGGGTGGCTTATCAGCTTCTGGAGACATAATAAGATCAAAAAGAAAGATGAGAGAGAAACTCACCTGTGCGGTGCATCATGGGAACTCCGACAGTAAATGAGCGAGTAACCAGGAAACCACGGGTGTCCACCATTTTATCGTGGAATTTCTCCTCCCAGTGAGCTGTGAGGGGGGGAAAAGACACGAGGTCACAACTCTGCACAGGCGTCTGGCCTCACAAAGAGCTTCAGTCAGGCGTTAACGCCATACTCACGCTTGAAGAACATGGCGTTGACGATCATGGCTCCGTCTGGGTTTTGCACGTCCTTGGTGACCTCAGGCAGCTTGCCGCCTGTGGACTTGGCTGCCCACTCGTTGATGGAGTTCACTGCGCTCCTCTTGTCCCTGAAATTGATTTTGGAGTGGTCGTAGTTGTAGTGCTTCTTGCTGTTCTTCACAAACTCGTCAGCGAAGGACACAGAGCTGGGGCCGTAGAGGCGGTTGTTGATTTTCCAGGTGGTGTTGCGTGTCTTGGCGTTGCTCACCTGAGAAGAAGTGGCACATGTACGCCATTAATTTGTGATATAAAGACAACTCGGAGTCTATGGCCTGTGGTGATGATGGTGGAATTATGAAACAAGGGAAGCTCCTTACCTCAGTGAGGAGCTCTGACAGGCCTGCATGCAGATGCTCATCCTTGAGTTTGTCAGCGCTGAGGACTGTTTTCACCTGGGAGGCAGTGGAGGCTTTGCCACCAAGAGCCACCAGCCCCAGAGAGGAGGCCACCACCACAGGAGAAATGATGATGTTCTCTGTGTCTTTCTCCTTTGCCATGGTGTGGTAGAGGCTAAAGTGAAATTTAAAAAATGCATATATTTATATATAAACACAGAGAATATTACTTTATGTTACAAGTGCGCCAGAATCAATAATATACAAACCTGAAGGCCAAGTTGGTGCTTTTATCAGCCAGCGCGGTGGCGTGGGTGCTCAGCTTCACATCCTCTGCAGAGGCCACCAAGGCCAGCAGACAAAGGCCTACAATGTTAGTCATCCACATCCTGTCTGTCTCCAACAGCAGCTGCACTCTGTGAAAAGGAAGCAAAGAGAACGATGATGACATTATTCCTTAAAAAGAACAAGAAGAAAAAGAAGAGCATGTTTGTGATATTCAGAAATATATTCATTTCTTAAAATATATCTCAGAAAGAAAATGCCAGAGAGCCGACTACACTTGGGCTGTAGAGCTGTGGAGGAAGGGCAGAGTTGACCCAGCCCACTCAGCAGCTCTGGAATGTCCCGAGTTTGAGGGAGACATGTTTCGTGCCACGTCAGCAGCGACCGCCGCCTGAGCTGAACAGCTGAAACTCGACGTTTACTTGGATTGAGCTGGATCTCGCTTCTCCGGACACATTTTAAGTGATACAAATGGTTAATAGTGTCTCCTCGGATGCGAGGATCAGAAATCCCTTTGCAACAGTCTTGCGAGACGTACAGTGCAGACTTTTTTCATGTTGCCTGCAGAGAAAGAAAAGGGCGTATGCCTGTAGGCTGCACCCAAATCATCCCATCTCTGGTTCAAACAATGGGCTGAATGCACAGCCGCGGGCTCTGAATAACCAGCTGCACTGGCATACTGTTTCTCATGCAGACTCATACTGCGTCTGTTCCTCTGTGATTGCATGTTTGTGATACCTTGAGATGTTTTCATTTCTGCGATTTTCATTCTGAAAGACAAGAGGTGTATGTAGTAATCTCTGTGGAGCAGGCAGTGAGAACATATAGGCAGATTCTCATGGAGAGAAACTCTATGCACAGTACGAAGTCTAACGTCTCTGTTCTAGTTTCAAGTTTTCAACCACTAGAATTTAAACATTAAATATTAAGCTGCCAATCTAGTCAACCCACCACTCATTCAAGATGAGGCACTTTTCACTGTTTGTTTCCCGACCCTGGAGGGGGGGAAATGCTTTGATCCAATGAGCTTTGCCACAGTCAAAGTGATACTCTTCCTAGTGGAAAGACAAGCTAAACTGGGCGCAGGCACGCTACTTTCCTGCAAACCTTTTTTTTATTTGTTTGAACTGAATGCATTTAAACTGTTGTCAAAGTTCTGACATGGAAGCAGCAGAAAGCCTGCGCCACCCTGCCAGCTGCATGACAACTTTCAGCTCTGATAACAGGTCAGGATTTGTTCCCTACTGGAAACAGAAGAAATACAAGAAGTATTCTCTGACAGACAGAGGAATCTCAGCTGCAGCTTTCAAACTGGGTAAAATGGAGGGTAGCTGATCTGCAGCGGTAACACATGATAACAAAGCAGTTCATTCAGTCGCCGCATTCCTCCCTGTGAAACAAAGACCGTTATCTTCTGATCCTTACCTGGCACAGATTATCGCAGGGTTGCTTCTCCGAGCTGTGTCCGGTGGATAGTGTGGCTGTGACAGACTTCCCTGGCTCTATATATCCTAAAAGAGAATTTTCTAGAAGTTGGGAATGGGATATTCAAATGAGGGTGTCTGTGTTTTCTCAGGAAGCTGGGAGCTGGGACGTCCCCCTCTTGAAATCACAGGGTGGGATGAAAGCTGTGCCGACTGAAGTAAGTGCTGGTCCTGGATCAGCGTTAAAACTTTCCCACAAAAGGCTCCTGAATAGAAAATCTGAATCCTGGTCAGTCTTAAGTTTCTGCCTCAGTCCCCTCGGTTTTTAACACTGCTTGCTGACTCAATCTTAAACTCTGGTTTCATCACATGATTGGAGATAAAGATTAAGCTGCCACTGACTGTGAATTAAATGATTGTTTTGCATGCATATAAATACAGTGTTAAAGTTCTTTTAGCACTCTTTGGCATTTGTGTGTATGAGCTTCTCTTCAAGTATGGAACACCACCATGCATCAAAACAGTCTCAGCAGGCAGGATGTTACTCAGTAAGCATTTTTACTCCAGAATAAAAGCTGTAACTTGTTCCCTGGCTGTTGTTAAACTGCTGCTTAACTTCACATGGAAACATCCAGAAAGTTTCATGCAGCAGTATTCATGCCTCCCCAGAAGTTGCAGGAGCCTCAGCCCTACCCCCACACCCACACTGCCACGTCTGTCCAACTCAGCTGCTGATTGCAGGGTAGCTACTAAACGATGGGGGTTGTCTGGAAGACCACTGATGTTTAAAAAAAAAAGAAAAAAAAAGAAAAGCAGGATCTGCTTTCTTCGGAAAGAAAAGTTTCATAAAACTGCTGAGCCTTTTCTTTAGCACACAGAATAATGTTATTGTTGGTATTGTGATCTCAAAATCGCACATTTACATTCACAAGATTATCTGTCTCCTGTTTCATCTCTGATGTATATAAAGAGACCGAAACCTGCCTCCAGTGCAAAGAAAGACATTTCATGCTATAGCTTTACTTATGCAGATAATAAAATATTGATCTGGGTGTCTGACACTGCAGGACTAGGTGTTCTCCAACTAAAGTATTTCCATCTATCTCTTGACCCCCCTCCCAGTGCTTTTCTTTTACTGCTCTCTACAAATTGCCCTGACATGCCAGCTGATGAGTGGCTTGACTTTTTTAGTGATGTGTTGGGGGAGGCATCTAGAACTTTCTATGAAATTTTGAGAGACAAAAAATGTCCACAACCCACTCATAGCCATGTTTAGAACTCACAAGTACCTGAAGCTGAGTTACATACATGACTACCCAACAAATGAGCTCATTAACAGTTTTTACAACCCACCCCACCCCCATGTTTGTTTGTCCTTCTGAAGGCCCAGGAATGACAGTTTACACTGAGATTCCTCAGCATGTGCAGACTCGAGTTCAACCAGATGCCAATTAATCAAGACTAAATCATTAAGATAAAAATGCTTTTACTCTCTGCCTTGTGTGGTATAAAGGGACATGCATAAGAAATGATGTGGGAAGGAAACAGTTACCTGCTGTTCCCCTCACAGTGCCTCATCTGTGTGGTCTAAATATACACCACGTGTGTGTACGTGTCTGTGTGAGCATGCAGAAGCTTCCAGAGCTTTTCCCAACCAACATCAAACACACAACTGAAGAACTGTGACATAATCACGTTCATCAGATAGAAGATGCCTAACCGCAACATGATGCAATTTTTCACCATTAGAAAATTAAAAGACCATCTGCAGATTGCGTTTTATAAAAATAAGCAAAAGTAAGGATGCAGGCACGTGCCAGACACGTTTTCTCTTCAGCAGAATCTGATGCAAGGGTGGGAATAGTCTTCAGAGGGTGGAGCAACTCTTACATAACTCGAGGGAAGAATTGCTATTCGAGGACAAGGAGCCTATGCAACATCTGGACGTCATTGCACCAGCCATCAGCAACGACGGCAACTTCTTTGCTTTCTGGAGTTTCTTCAGTAAACTCTTCTCTTGGATAATATATATATATATATATATATATATATGGAGGTTGTGAACAGAGTTCAGTCTCTTCAGTCACTCCTGGCAACTGTGTTAGTTTATCAAACAAAACAAAGCCTAAGAGAGGCTTTCTCAATGGTGAGCTTCCTGTTTATCATTTTAAGATATATGCCTGTTTGGTTTCCTCCAAACTTACTTAATAGGGCCTGAAAATCTGTTTATGGATTCCAATATATACTCCATCCAGGTGGAATAGAGAGAAGAGGAACCTTTTTGTTACAAAAAAAAAAAAAGTAATTTACCTAAGAAAAGTAAAAATGCATAAAAAGTTTTCTGTATGATTCAAAGTTCCCACATCAAAGTATAAAGTTTTAAACAATTTCAAGATGATATCCACGCAAACTACTAAAGGTAGGACTCCAAACTGAGAAACACAAAGTTGTCAGTGAAGAACTTAAAGCACAGCTGCAAGAAGATGACGCAAGACCAAAGAAATGTTTCAGCTCAACTGTATGGTGTAACTGTGACGGGCCTAAGCTCACGGTCAGTATCAGTGGTTGGGCCTGCTTTTTACATTCTCCTTCTCAGGTCCAGGTTCCTCACTAGTGGTGTGCGGATCGATACTGAAATATCGATTCTTCCGATACCAGCAATTTATGTTCTAGAATCGATTCTCATATTATAATATCGATATTTTAGTACTCTGGGGTAAATTTGTAGTTTTTCCATTAGAGGATCATCAGGGGGTCCTTTTGTCCCTCTGTGGGGGGAAACTCCCACTGAGTTTAAATCTGGGACTCCCCACCATTTGACCTTAGAACTGAAGAAGCTTCTCGGATGAGAGGTGAAACGTCTTCAAGTAACTTAAAGAAGTCCAGAGGCTTTTTTTTGCAAGCTCCTTTGATTTCAACTTTTAAATATTTAAATTTTCAGCTTTTTCCTTTTAAACAAATTTAAAGTAAAACAACACAAAACACTGCAAACCACAACACAGTTAAATATGAATTAAAATATGAAAACGAAAAGGACATGCATATTCTCTGTCATATGGGCCTGCATGAATAAACTTTCTGAATTCTTTATCAAAATAGTTGTGAATGATTACTATACCTTTGTCCCTGGCTCTCTTTCTCTCTCTTTCCCTCATGCTCTGTTCCTGTGCTACTGCAAGTGTAATTACCGCCCCTCCCCCCTCTTCCCAGCGCAAAGGCGTGCAGAGTATAGCAGAAAAAAAGTGCGAGAGAGAGGGTGAGAGAAAGAAAAAAAAAACCCACAGCTCGCGATAAGGAGCCGGCTCGCGTCGTTCACTTCAAAGACCCGGCTCTAAGAGCCGTTTCGTTCGCGACCGACACATCACTACAAGCGGTGCGGCTTCGTAGCTTAGCAAAGTCTTACTAAAACATTTGACAGATTTTTGACCACCGTGTACCACATAAAATCGTTTCGAGGTCAGTAAACACAACCAGAATTCATACATAAGGCACATGGGACTATAAGGGGCACTGTCGATTTTCCGAAAAATTAAAGGATTGATTTTAAGTATTCCGTATTTTCCAAAAAACACGGTAATAACAACGGCCCGCTAGCATGCTCTACCAGAAAATGTGCTTTGTTGTGTATCTGACGGACGAAAGCTAAACCAGTTTCACACCACTGAAGTTGCAGCATTTTAACAAAGCAATTCTGGTTCATCTGTTTCATTCAACGATCCGCTTTCGCCCTTCTTATTCTCCGTCACCGCCATGCTTTTTCCGCCATGTGTGTATGAAAACAAAGGCAGTGCGCATGCGTGTCTTACCCATATTCTATCGCCATATTTAATTTCTTATCGTTGCCCAACATTATACCAGTATTACTGTGAATGGTATGATATGGCCCAGCCCTACTTGCATGCTTTGGTCGCATATGAGGTAAATTCTATTAAAAAGTTGAGTTTCATGATGTGACTGTGTAGCCACTATTGTTTTAAGGCTTTACAGTCATAATTGGTGACGCTCCCAACCTAAGTTCCAAACATTAACCCTAAATTTGTAAATTCCTTTTCAACCAAGCAAACAGAAATAATTTTTTTGTAGGGAAACAGAATACATATCCTATAGGGTTAAATTTAGGGCTAAGGTCATGGCTTTCTCTTCAGAGGGCCTATATAGCATCATCCCTGGACTCGCACCAGTTTGCATACAGGGGAGAACCGGTCAACCGAGGATGCGATCGCCACAGTGCTGCACACATTACTGAAGCACTTGGAACACAGGAACACCTATGCACGGCTCCTCTTTGTAGACTACAGCTCGGCTTTTAATACCATCCGGCCATACAAACT